AAAATCAGGCATGTCACGTTAGATACTCCCTCAGATCAAGAGAGTCGAGTTGGCAATTGATTCATCTGTTATTTTGAGTGTGCTGGCATTATCATGCGTGAAGTGGTCAAAATTAAAAGATTATGCTCCCGCAGGGGATGTGTAATGATCCTGGTAGCACGGTTCTGATTCATTGTAGAAATCTCATGCCGGTCGCCATCAAAGCGCCAGCGTCACGCGAAGACCGTCAAATACTAAATCTACCTATATCAAAGTCCAACACGGGAGCCCTGCATTAAAAGCCTCGACTTAACGCCAACCGGCAAGGCGCTTATGACTGTATCTGAGTCGGTTTCGGCCTGTAAGGTACCCAACCCCCTGTGACCACACTGTCATTCGACGAAGGACCCTGGATAGTTGCAACCAAGTGTGTTGGGTTGGGTGGCGTGTGTACGCGGTGTGCAACTCAGGTACGGGAGATAGATCGACCCTGTGCTAGGTGTCTCGCAACGCCTGACAAAGACAGACCGCTAGAAGACGTGATCACCGATAATCCTTGCATCACCGTAATCTCGCCTGATACCTCCTTGGGCATCGCGTCAGACTCGTACCTTGAGATGGTCAGAAATGAACCATCGATGCCGTTGCTGTACATAGTAGGTTGCCAGCCCAAGCCGTCCATGTCGCTTGGGCAGCCAGTGCTGTCTGACGCCCCTGGCTTCGCTGGGGATAATATCTAATACCACTGTATCGGAAATGCCCAAGTGCACCCGCTTCGCTTATGTCACACATACACAGTCATCAGGTGTCAGGAGGCCAAAGCGTGAGCCTTGTTGTTGCCAGGCACACCTTAGAGGTTGAAGGGGGGTACACGCTGCGGATGATGCATCCGTTTGTCTTGATCCTACCACACACCATCTCATTTTTCCTCAACAAAAGTAGTACCAATTACAGTCGCGTCTTGAACCTGTGGCTATTTGCAGAATCCAAGGACTCATTAGTACCACCAACCAGCAGCACACGACCATTCCCTCCCAACATAGGGACTTGAGTCCCCTCCGCCGGGCCAGGCGGGGCCGCTGATCCATACCTGGCTAGCAAGGTCTATATGACGCCTCCACCACGTAGTAGGTGATGTGCTAAGTGAGGCAGTTGGCCATACACCCAGATGCTAGATCTACGGTATCTGCCCTCCCCTTTCGCCAACCCCCCATCTACATATGTGTGCGTCCAAGTCTCTTCCTCCGTCCACATCACCTTCAGACCGCACCTCTGCTGTTGTCTTCCGATACTGACAGCACTTTTGCTGGCATCAGTTAGCGCTTCCTGCAGTCCTGCGACTGGTGCAGATACTATTCCCCACCGATCACCTGTCGCTTAAGTGGCCTGTCGCTTATCAGCGCAACCCGCCTGGCCCCGATATCGAGGCGGGAAGTGCTAGATATAGCTCTCCTACGCTCGTTCCCCCGGGGAACGGAGCATCAAGTATCCCTCATGGCTTTCCGTCAACCAACTCTGCAGTCGATGCAGCGGGCTGTAAAGCCCGCCGCTGAGAATCGTGAATCTGCCGGGGAACAATCCCAGGCCCAGCGCCAACTCCACCAGCCCCTTGACCAGTCCCAGACATGGGTCCTATTCGCACCAGCAACAGAAGGGGCCACGACCGCCTCTGACTTCAGCGAGACAATCCCGTCCATCCAAACGACCGGCAGATTACAGCTCAGCGACATTGGGAGCATTCATACGGCTCCGAGATCCACACAAATAAACAACGATGAGAGAGGCTCCAACGTCCCCTCAGAGATTGAAGAAGAAGATGCCGAGCTGGACAGACTAGACAGTCACCTACCTTCATTCCGGTCGTTCCCAAGAGAGGAAGATCAGAATATGGATGATAGTCATTTCTCGAATCCCGTCTTTCCTCAACATGATGGCCTCGGACTGTTCAATCTCGGCCAGCCAGCACTGGGGCTTGATGCCCAAGATCAAATGTATCAGTTTGAGAAGTACAACCCCAGGAAAGTACATCTCAGGCGCGAAAGTCTTGACCTTGCAAACCGGGAATTGGATCCCGACCGTTCTCAGGAAGCAGAGAAAAGGCAACGAATCGAAGATTGGCGACTCGAGCACAGCCGCGTCCTCGTGGAGGAAATCCAGAGACAGACGAGAAGAAGGCGACGCTCTCAGGCGTCTCTTCGACAAGTACAGACGTTTCACAGCACGAATGATGAACATGCGGCCGTCAATTCTGAGAGCAGATCGGATAATCTGACGTGGCATGACGACGACGCCGACGTGTCAACGGGCGAACCTGACGGCCTCCTAGCTCGAGTTACGCAGAAGGTGATCAAGGATCTCCTTGGGATTGATGATCATCTGCTATCGATTCTTCTTGGAGAGTCGTTCCCTGAGGACGAAACCTTGTCCAACACTCCTCGAGCATCGCATCTTGGTGATCAAATGCCGCTCACACCCTCAGACGAGCATTCTTGGCATGAACGTGTCGCAAACACCGTGTCTAGAGAAATCGGACTTCTGGTTAACCAAATATCACACCATCCAGGCGCATTTTCTAGCTACTCCAGGATTCATCAGCAGCCTTTGCCCTATGCCGGATTACCTGTCATCCTCGAAACGGGTCTATCGCAGGTCAATGACGAGTCAACGGTCAGCCTTGAATCCGAGAAGACTCTTGGCCAAGATTTCCGGCCCACGATCCAGAGGGCTCAAACAATGCCCGAAAGCCGCAAGGACTCGGCAGCAGTCGAAGAAAACACCTCAGAAAATACATTTACCAAGGAGGAGTGGGAAAAGGATCTCGACGTCAAGCTCGTCTTCCGCTATATTTGCTCCCGCTTTAACATCCGTGCTAGCAGCCCACCCAGTGTCAGCAGCAGTGGCAATCTTGCTACGGCAAACACGCAGGATGCGGCGGCAAAGGCAGCCCGGGTACGGCAACACCACCCCCTCACGTCTCGAGCGCGCCCCACGGAGCGACGTACGTTCAAGGCCACTACACCCAGCAGCCCTGCAAAGCTTCGGCACCAGAGCAGCTGTGCCAGTCAAAGCACGAGGCGGTCAGCACGGCGTAGCAGTGTTTCGTCCCGGCATTACTGGGATATTGGTGGTTCGTTGGGAACAGGTTCTATGATTGCATCTAATGGTCCAATGGGAAGCTGGGGCGAACTTTGATCCTGCATGATTCACGGCATAGGTATTCAGGTCATTTCATCTTATGATTTTTCTTTTTCTGGAGTTTAGCGGGATCTTATGGCCTCATGTACGAGTATTAGCGTTGGCATACATAATCATACCAGTCTCGGTAGACAAGATAAATAGGCACATACAATGGGTTTCCTACATCAGTAATTACCGCTCACAAAAGGGCCAAGGGATAGCTTGCTCATAACACGGCCCGAAAAGGGGAATGAAGGTTAACTTGTAACACGGATCTTCGCGGATTTAGGCAGGCTTGAGTCATATATCGCATCATAGTCGGTCTTGGTTGCAGACGGATTAACGCCTAGGTTCCCTGACTTCGACAACGCTCATCCAACAGTAGCCCCGAGGCGGTTAATTATCAGGTTCGCCTCACGAGGCAGGGGCGTGTTGATTCGCCGAACCCACCATTGATTGCATCTGCGGCCAAGCACAAATCGCCTACCAATATTTCGACAGCCTCACACGTAGGACGGACCCCAACGGGAGAGAAGGCTGATAGCCTGATACCAAATAAATCTACAGACACACCGCCCGTTGGTTGCAGCATACGCGAACTGCACGGTCCATGTCAGAAAGCCGCGCACGATTGGCCTGAGTGTGAGTCAGGTGGGGCATGTACCTAAACGAGAACCTGCACCGTGTAAAGCACCCTCGAGTATAGCGTTTTAGGCTTATCGGAGGGGAGCTGTAGGAGATCCAGCTCCAGAAGCTACATCCAAGAGCCATGTTCGAACTTAGCTCGAGTGCCGCTTTATGCGCTATTTGACTCGGACTTGGGCTGAAGGATAAGACTCGGGGTTACCTAGGACTTGATAGGTAGGATGCAAGCTCTGTACAAGTAGAAGTTCTACTTATGAGATGATTCTCGTTTCAACATTTTTAAAGCCGCATATCAGTACTACTTGAACAGGCCTTAATCGGGGTGCAATCAAAGTCAGGACGGAGTTATTGTCAAGATAATTGCGCCGACCGGCACCGATCAAAGCCAAAAAAAGAGTAGACTCAGAAACTAGGTAGTACCGTGCCATCGCTCACAGGTTCTTTTGTCTTTTGAAATAGTATCTGCCTTATCACTTCCCACCTAAACGAGGTCAATCAGTCACATCTGGCTTGCACACGCTCTGCCTCCTACACTGCTGGCGGCGATATAGATACGACTCCCGCCTTGGCTAGGCCTGCTGGACTAGGGCAGCGGGCGCCGATTGCTGGTTTTGGAAGCCGCTCAGGGCGTCGTGCGCGTCAGACTTGTCCTTGGGCGTGTCACGGACCGATGTGGAGAAGATGGGCAGGACCACCTACATCCCTCCATACCCGCCATACACCCACCCAGCTTTTGGATCTGGACCAGCTTCGTCCCTTCCCCGTCCATCTCCATATGCGGCCCATCCTGCCCACCTCTCGACCTTCCGCCTCACTCGAATTGAACGCTCCCATCGCTCGACCACCTGCCATTCTCCCACAGAAGGGCCTTTTGTGGTGAAACTCCGCACACGACTCCGTTACACGTCAATCTAGGCAGGCAGGTATATAACCCTCCCCCGCTGCCACCCTCCAAGAACTTCGTCCGTCTCTACCTGTCGCGATCATCCCACACTTGTGGACGCCCAGGTCATCGATTGATGATTGCTTTCATCATCTGAACTCTCTTTCGGACTCATACTAACATTTCCCTCACAGTGCAATGGTCTGAGCAGGGTGTTTGGCCTCACTACCTGCGACCTGCAGGTTTCCTTTCAAGTCGCCGATAATTCGCGACAACCTCAAGCCAGTAACCCAGCGATGACCCCCGACGGCTACCAATGGCGACGAACCCGTTTGACCCAACCATCACTGGCCTACCTTTCTTCGATATATACAGTGACCCGATCGGTACCGCCAGGACCAATGGGTTAGCGCTGCCAGGAGGAGCTTGCAACTTCGTGGACCTCAGCCCCGGTGCCAATGGTGCCAAGTGTGGGTGTCGGAGGTTCTGGATACGTTCTACAGGAGGGACCCCGAACTTGGACAGTACCAGCTGGTGTATGTGCAACCATCACGCCTGCTTCCATGATGAAGGATCCCATGATGTACCGCCAGTCGAGTTTCGCGTCCCGGAGCCTGGCCAGGAAAATGAACGGCCTCGAACTGGCCGGGAGCCCCTCAGCCCAATGATCGACCAATCCCAGAGGATGCTGTTGCCTGCCTCGGGTCTAGGCCTCCCAAGCTTTGGAATCGACGACAAACTATCCTTTATCTATAATGATCCGGATTTCAAGGTGACCGAGGTGGCCACGGAGAAACCCATTCCCAGTAGCATCCAACCCGCCACTGGCTCCTTACCTGATACCTTGGGCTGGGGGGAACCGATGAGCAACAAACCTCCCGCCAGCCCCTCCCAGTTTCTGATCCCATCCCAGGCCAGCTCCACCACTTCTTCCATCCGGGCCAGGTACCTCAAGCCATTTGCTGGCAAAGGACTTAACACACTGGGCAGTGTCCAGGAGACCAAGTTCAAGCCACCCTTACCACCAACTGCTGATCCCAACCCACCCACCCATCCCAATAGTGCGCCAATCGTAGAGGACTCATTTGTACTAGTACCAGCGAATAAGGACCACCCCGGAGCATCCCAGGAGACCACGCAGCATGAGCCTAGGGCCTCTGCCTTTGGAGAAACAACGCGTCAAGAGTTCAAAAACTTATCTGATGCAGTCGTTGCAAATGAGCAGCGTCTTGAGAGGCTCGAGAATGTATCATTCTCTGCTGGCAACGATGAATGCCACGAGAGGCATGACCAGATGGACCTTCGAGTAACCGACTTGGAGAGCAGGATGGAGGAAGCTGAGAAACAGGCCGCGGAATATGCGGCTGCGGCATCCCGACAAGCCGACAAGACGGACGATTCAGCTACACAAAGCGTTGCATCATTTTCAACGGAAGCAACAAATCGGCCAAGTCACTCGCAAGAACTTTACAGCCAACTGCAGACTTTACAGGCACGGGTGGATTCCTTGCAATCCGCATTGCCATCTCCCAATCATGCTTGGGAGATTGAGGTTGTATACCTCCCATTTCCCCTCAAGAAAGTGTGGCAAGATGAATCAGCAGCTCGTGGTGCTGAACGATCACAGCTCCCTATGACATACAGCTCTGAGAACGTCACGTCCATGTCTCCACTCTACCAAGATTGGGCCAACTCGATGCACGAGGCACAATGGCTCTTCCCAAAAGCATGTGGTGATAAGAGCATCACGGACAAAAGGCTGCGCAGTCGAGGTCTCATCAAGAAATTGTCTGTGTATGGCCCTGATGCCAGGAGCGTGGACGCTGCCATGCATCAAGCGTTTGGCAGTGTATGGCAGGAAATGCACATTCGGACCCAAGCCAACTCAGCAAACCCTCGCACGTCCAAATTTCTTGGCCTTCACTCCTCATGGGTACCACTTCGCAAACTTCACAAAGATTCGTGCCTTCGCTTTCTTAGCCCGGCAGAGATGCTTACACCTGCTATCTGGACTGTGCAGTTCTTGACTACTGTCATGATGCGGTCGTCTGAACCTAGACTGTTTGTCACCCATCCCGACGCATACCTTCAGGACTTGAACTCGTATGAAACTGGGTGGACGTGGCAGAGGGTCCGTGAACTGAGTCGGGTGTACTCTGAAAGCGACTCCCAGGGAGTTCCTGAGGCTGATGCCATGGAAGAGTATTGGGCCTGGAACGAACGACTGGACGACCCGCCAAACGCCCCTGCATCACTGAGCATGCGACATCTCAAGCATACCCCACATACATCCTCATCTTCATCCATATCTCAATATCATCCTGCTGTTAGCCACCTGCGGTCACCAAGTCCAGCTGTTATTGCATCAGGTGTGCCTGCATACATATCACGGAGCCGACACAGCTCTCGCCCGTTACACGTCCGCACTACATCACTACCTGTTGTTGAATCAGAGCAGGAATTACCTGCAGCTGGTAGGCGTCGTGTAATGTCTGGTGGGGGAAGTCGTCGAGGATCGCCATCTGTCAAGGGCGTCTCACAGCATGCTATTCTCAAAAGACGCCGAACAAGATCGCCAAACCATCTTTTCACTCCAAGATGGACAGCTTCCCCCAGCCCCATGCCGGCGGGTCCTACTGCCAGAGGCCATACCCCCTTCACATATGCTACGCCTCACAGCAATGCTCCCCTTCAGGATGCTCAGATTCTCTCGGGTGGCATCGCCTCGCCTTCAATGGGGGCTCGGGGATTTGATGAAATTGATGCTTTCGATGAACTTTACGAGATCGAAATATACGAGAGTCCTTCGGACGAGGACTTCGAAGATAATGAGAGCACGGGCACTGTACAGGTTACCACCCGTGTCGAAACACATACTGGTCCTGAAGCACAGAATCGACAGTTGCCTGAGGATGAGCCCTGGCCAGGGATCGAGGATCAAGACCAGCTGTCAGACGAAGAAAATGTCGATCCAAGAGATGTCGACATGTGCAGCGACTGCAGCAGTCAGCCCTCTGAGTATCCCAGCACGCATAATGCATGGCCAAATAATGGTGACGAGTTTCAGATTCATGAAGATTAATGATTGAGAAAGAGGATGATACTAATCAATCCTCGGTGTACACACATTTGTCATACAAAGCCTAGCGTTCTCTCAACTCTCTTCAATTGGGGTTTTTCCCTTTTCCCTTCTCGACCATTGAGCGAGCCTTGTTTATTTTTCTTTATATATTACTCTTTCTATAATTTCATCCTGGGTCTGAATATTTAGCGAGACGTTCATTAATGTAACTAGCGTATGCTTGGCGTTTTGGGCTGGGTTGGTGTTTCGTGGAGTTTGGTTTCTTACTCACCTGATCCCTTTGAGGAACGAGGTGGGATTCGGGATGTTGATGGCGGCGCTGTCTCTTTGACATTTGGACATGGCTGGAAATCTTGTTTCACAATATACACACATGTATCTCAACTTGGTCGCGAGGGTGTACTAGACAGACAAACTCTCCCATTGTGTTTGATAAGAATTTTGTATTCATGTTCCTCTCATTTATATATAAATCTACGCTAGTGAAAGATATCCTGTATCTTTCCAGAGAAACAAGCAAATCTTTCTATCGTTAAAAGGGAGAAAAAAAGAAAAAAAGAAAAAGAAAAACGGGGTATCAAGAATCCATGCAGTCTTAAAATGCAAATACCTTGTAGGTAAAAACGCCTGATGGGCCGTCTATGAAGAGACGAGGCCATCTGGTATGCTCCGTTGCGCATAACCGGTTGCTCCGCTCCCGCCGAGCCATTCCCAGGCTCGTGTAAAGCCAAGTCTATCGTGACCTCTATAATGCTTCAGGGCTGTCCAATATGAACAAAAATGTTTTGTTTGAATGTGTCCTGTTTCAGCTGGACACTAAATGTTGTGTGTAGTAGGGAGCGTATGACGAGCCATAGGTATTCTTCTAGTCTCGCCAGGACCTCTTGGGATCGAGTTCATAGCCGACCAAGCACTTGTCCTTCTTACACAGCTGTTTGCGATCGAGAGACTTGAACTTGGGTCCCGTTGGGCCGGTGGTGTAGTGGTATTGGCCGAAGAGGCGCCACTGGCGCAGATCGGAGAGGGCGTACACCTCGTCGCCCCAGCGGCCGGTGTAGTGGAACCAGGAGGTCGGGGCCTGCGGGTTGTTGGCAGCAGCAACAAGGCTAGGGCGTCGCCTCGAGGATGACTCCTCGACTTCCTTCTCGAGGGTGTAGTCGTAGTGGTAGGCGTAGTTGTTCAGGCCGGGGTCCCAGAGCGGGCCCTTGTCCGTGACATCTTTGAGGAGCTTGAAGGGGAGGACGTAGGGGTGATCACCAGCCTGAGGATACATGGCGTGGGATCCGACGGCTGAGTAGATGATAGGGCGGCCGGTGGATGACTTCTCAAGGGCATCCCACACGTAGGACTGGCCGGCTTCGTGCTCCGACAGGAAGACGCCTTTAGGCTTGCCGTCTTGGAAACGGATCATGAAGTGCTCCCAGTCACCGACATGGTTTCCGAAGCGCATGCCGAACACCGTCTGGCCAAGGTTATAGGAGTAGAAGAAGAACCAGAAGGCGTCGACAACACCCTCTCCCTTGTCGACGAGAACGAGAACAGCTGGGGCTCGGGAATATCCGTCGGAGTCGGGCTTGTGGCCCCGTTCCTCAAGCGGATTTTTCGTCAAGTACCGGTTTCGCTGCGAACGGCCGAAGCTCGAGCCGTACTTCCTGGGGTCGGAAAGACGGTGGACTGGGTGCTCCTTGTTGGTATCATACCAGGTCGAGTGCTCCCGATTGGAGAGGTCCTCCTTGTAGGGGCGGCGTGCGGGTGGTGAGCCTCCAGTATCAGGATCATCCTCAAATGGCTCGGGGATGTTGTTATGGCTGTGAAGCCAAGGTGGTCGGCTCTCCACATCGTCGTTGCTGTGCAGCGTAACCATGCCGCTGAGCTTGTTTAACTGTCCAAGGTTGTGCAGCGACCACTCTGTGGAGTTGTGTACAGTGCTATCCTGATAGACTGTCATGTGTTCGAGGTGTTCCCTGATATCCGAGGGCCAGAACTCCTCGTCCGAGCTCAAGTGAACGAGCGGCGCATATCGATAGACGTAGTCGGGAACTTCCTTGAGAACCCGCCTGCGTTGGAGGACGTCTCTCTTCCCGCTTGGCGCCACAACGTCCTCGTCCCAGGCACGAACTCTCCTCAACTCGCCGCTCAGGTCATCATCATATTCATCATCGTTCAGGTCATCTTCCCAGTCGTATCCGTGAGACGCCGGGTCTTTGCGGATATGGTGAATGCCACACAAGCTGATCCATCGACATAGTTGACGATCGAGAAAGTATGGACTGCTAGCAACCCATTGTCGGTCCTTGGCACGCTTCTCGGCGTCCTTGCTCGTCGGGTCGAGGATGCGAGGCACTGACCAGGCTACGAAGGACAGGCACAGGAGGACGATCAAGAGGATCGCAGAACGTCGTACCCAGTACATTGTAAGTTTTCGACTGCCCGGGCTTGACCAAGCAAGCTGGGGGAGACCGAATAAAGAAGCGAAATAGATATAAGAATACTTGGCAGGGCAAAAGGTGTGAATTGGCGGTGCGGCGTCTTAAGAGAAACTCCGCGAGCCGCCTTTGAGTTGTCGCGTGCGCGGCCCCGGCAGGCAGAAGCGTATTCGGAAAGGCTGAGTCCGGCGTTGGACGGTTGTTGACAGCTTCCCGATTGGAGGCGGGGCGGTGAGGCTTAGGTGGGGGATAAATATATAGCGGTCGGTAGGGGTCCAGGGACAAGCAAATGCCAGTACCTATGAGGGCATCGAGGGCCTTGCGAACCAAGGGTCGAGGGGGGATATCAAGGTGAGGTATGCGATATTCGTAGGCACTCAGGCTGCAAGACCCGGAAACGGTACTAATGCTCGGGTTGCTGCCGATGAGCGGAAGAGGGGAGGGCAAGGCGTAGGAGGTGGAGGAGGGGCATCAACAGTTTAAGAAGTGCGAATACGGCACACGACCAGGAGCGAAGAGGGCCTCAGACGTCGAGCCTGAGTCGGTCAGGGCGAGGCATCGCGAGAACGGGTCGATCAAGGACTAGTCGCTTGTTGGGGCAGGCATTGTGCGACACTGAGGCGCCTCCTCCCGACTGGAGGAGCACCAGCATCTCGTGGGTGGATGCACATGCACGACTCGCTCGTTCCAGGGCGGTCGATCCCACAGCGACATGGGGGCTACCTTTCTGCATGCTCTTCTAGCCTGGCCCCAAGTACTGCCCCGGTGGTCTGCACTGCGTCCGCCGTGAGCGCTACCTGCCGCTAAGTTTAGCTTGTACCCTCCTTGTTGCAGCCCACCCAGCGACACTGCCAGCGCTCCAGCTAGGACCTAGCGCCCACTGGACGCGTATCGCACGGACCTGCCGCCCACTGGAATATCGCTCTCGGCCCTGAATCAATGGAGATCCCTCGCTAGCCTTGACACGACGCTCAGATTGACTCAGCACCAGCAGGTACCTGGCAGCCTGCTTACAGTATACGCGCAGACAAACTTCCGCCGTCGCTGGCTATGCAGCCTTCCGCGGGATTTTTACCCATTATCCCCATCAATGGCGCTGTCTAGAAGTACCGAGTGCAAGCCATCGCCCCTGAATGAGGCCTCCGCCGAATTCAGAATAGAAACCAGTGCCATATACTGACCAACAAGAAAGAGAGAAATAAAGGGGGATCGCTGTGTCAGCTTCGGGCAATAGCCAGGTGAATGCCATCATGCAGGAGCCCGGTAATGGATGGCGGTGCATGTAGGCATTGTATGTACATGGCACAGTCTAGTGGTTGTGTGGAGGTTGGTCAAGCTGACGGGCTGGAAGTAGTTTGCATGGCTGTGGCCCAACCACGACTAATAGTATCTATGTACCTACTAAGCAAGCATCAGATGCATACATGGGTGAAACATTGGCTGAACAAGTCCATTTCAGCCAACACCGACACGAGAAGTCATGTCCTCAAACAGAAGGATCTCACCCTTGGTTTGAGATGCTGATATCTTCTCTGGTTGACCCTCTGGGATCTCTTCACCGACAGCGGCGAGCCAAGAACCTAATTCTCCAGCCTTCGCACCCATTCTCCACTTGGCCTGCGCAAGCTGCCGAGTTGCAGCACACAAGAGCCGCTTCATATGCAGCGTAACTACTCGATGCGGCCTACCACTGCCAGCCAGGCTGCCACATGGGCAAACACTTCCCCATTGACAGGAGAATGTGCCGAACCAGCTCCTGGGTCACTCGCCTGTCCCACCAATGGCTGTCCATATCCCCCTACATGCATGCCGTGGGACGCTTCCGCTTCCAGCCAGCCAATGCAGGCAGCCCAAACAATCCGAGGAGGTCCATGGTCATTTGCTTTTTTTCCTCAATCTTGATACTTTCCGATGCTTGCTGTTTTGAGGTGTGATCTTGGATGACAAGGGTGGTTGGGATCTCTCGTCCATGCTCCCGCCCCTGATGCAACCTCCAAGCTGATCACAGGACCCTGAGAGTGCCCAACAGCTGGAATCGATCGTCCCTCGTGGGCGATCCGCGCCGACGTACTGGAACAAGACCGCCATCCACGAGGCCACCTCTGAGGCATGAACCAGTCTGCGAGATGTGCGCATTTATCGCCATTTAGCATTTCAGCGCGCCTCCTGCGGTACGGTTAATCAGCTGTCAAGGTCAGGGCGAATCAAAGGTCCCTCTATTAGTGTTACTCTGCCATAGTGATGTCCTCGTAATCGGCTGCTGGATCGGCATCACCAGCACCATCACTATTATCCTCATCGTTTATGTCACTCTGGTTGCTCCCGTCGCTCCTGCGGCTACCTTCAGACATGTCATAGTCGCTCGAATCGGCATCCCCAATTTCCTCCTCGTCCTCGTCCACCACATCCTCACCACTTTCCAAGTCCTCCCAGTGGCTTGGTGTTGGTTGAGAGAGCCCACCGACCTCGATATCTCGATGTAGAAGACCCCTAGGCTCGCTGCCGGCCCTGGTCCTAGGTCTCCCACGAGGTCTACCCGACCTCTTCCTCTTGTTTCCAGTCTCCTCGCCGCTCTCTGAGCCGGCCCGTATCCTTTGAGCCCTTTTCCTCCTCGGGCGAAACTCAGGATCCCGGTCGTCCCTGAAATCCTTGCCTGCGCCATCCTTTGCAAAAACTGTGACCTTGTCCGTCTCACCCTTCTTCATCTTGAGCGCGATCAACCTTTCGAGGAAATGGACCTGCTTCATCTTCTCTCCATTCTTGTGCCTGCCACGTGGGATTTTTATGTTCCATTCTTTTCGTATGGCCGCTAGTGAATCTTCAATGGGCTTTCTGGGCTTCATGATTTTCTCCTTGGTGAGTATTCGAGAAGCGCTCGCTGCCAGAAAGTCAACATTCTCTGGTAGGTTCCGAAGCGCGGGCAGCGGTTGCTTCGCGTTGGGGTTGCGGCGGGCGAATATAGCTTCTGTCCCAATAACCTCTGCCCATTGGCCTTCGAAGACTCTGCCCCGGTAAGAGATCACAGGGTGGTCGGAGTGCAGGTCAAGAATCTGGATATCCTCGAGTGCCTCGTCACGTCCCATCAGCTGGTCTTCCTCGTCCTCCCCATTCTCTGCTTCCTCCCTAGCTTCGGTATCCGCTCTAGGGCCTTCTATATTATCACCCTCTTCGTTGTTTTCAGGCTCGTTGTCGTCCTGCTCAGGTATCGGGTCCCTATGTGGAGCGAAGAGGGCTGGGTCAATATCTAAACTGTCACCCCCAGCCACAGTCGCATCTTCCGCCGTCTGTCCAGGGTTTGTGTCTCGGGCCACATCAGCCTGTGGCGGGGCAGTTTGGTCGGCTGTGGTATCTTCATTGTCGTGATTATCGTGATTATCGTTGTTGTTGCTGCTCTTGTTCTTATCCCCGTTGTGAGCATCGCCGCCGAATTCGGAGCCAGCCGAAGTCTCGATGTATGATTGCTTCCTCCCGAGCCAATGTTTGTAATAACCGCCGCGACTGTGGTGAGGACTTTTGGCGACCTGGCCTTTGAATTCGGGGTAGGAGAGCTCGACAGTCAAGTAGTACGTCTAGCTTCGTTGTTAGACAACTGAACAATTTTCAAACAAGTGTCATATTAATCCCACCTCTGTTTCCGTCGCCGAATACTCATATTCCCATTCATCTTCCTCGGTCGCTATTTCCTCGGTCGCAGCTTCGGGTTCCAGACTCGGAGCTGTCGGTTGTTTTGCAGGCGAGGCGTCGCCAGTCTGCGACATTGAGCCCGAGGCTTGCAACATGTTTGCCAGGGGAGCTAAGAGAATCTTTCCTTCATGAAAAACAGGGTCGCTTCCTCATCGAAATTGTCATATCTGATTGGCCATTAGGGGGATCCAAAGGCCCAACATTAGACTTGCAAAATGGCTGTAATGAACCGTAGTAGGTTGGAGGAAGAAAAGAGGTCCTTGCCTCTTCGAGAAGCCTGCGGTCAGAGACGGCTTATCGCACCAGCTCCCAGATAAGGTGGTGACATAAAAAGTCAAGCACAGCTCACTCAGTATTTTGCGACGGGTATTCCGCTTGCCATCCTTGCAATAACAATATTAGGCACAATAATAAGTAAATAATTTACTGCTGTTCTCCATAAGAGTTGGAAGAAATATTTTACATCTGTAGTTTAACGCTTTCTGTGGTGATAATCAATTGGCATTCATCTGCTTTCTGTCACCTATTTTGTCAGGGGATGGAGGGGTAGCAAGATGATGCTGGTTTTGCTCCAAGCACTGCCCCGCTATCGGTCTATCGCAGACCCATTCGTCGTGCCTATGAGTCGCTCCTGTGACTCCAATTACACTTTGTCCGACGCAGCTGGCTTTTTTTTCTCACTTAAAAACATCCGACGATCTTTCCCGGCCAGGTGCTCCTACTATACCCTCCCTTTATTCGACCCGGTAAACCTGACGAATAGCTACCTACCTTATAATCCAGCATCTAGACCAGCTGTCTCCTTCACCCCACCTGTTCCTCAGACAAATATATCCAGTGGGCAAGATGCCCACCGTCCACCTGTTAGACTATGTTGCCGGCAACATTAGAAGTTTAGTCAACGCCATTGAGAAGCTAGGCTACGAGGTCGATTGGGTCAGATCGCCAGAAGATGTCGCCAAAGCAGAGGTGTGCCCGTGACCCTGTATCTTCCCAACTACCTATGCAGCGAACCTAACCATTGAGCAGAAACTCATCCTTCCCGGTGTCGGCCACTTCGGCCACTGCATGTCGCAGCTCGCGCAAGCCAATTACCTCCCAGCTATCAAAGCCCATATCGATTCCGGGAAGCCATTCATGGGCATCTGCGTAGGTCTGCAAGCCCTCTTCGAAGGGTCCGTCGAGGATCCAGATGTACCAGGCTTGGGCGTCATCCACTCAACTCTTGGTCGCTTCGACGAGACCGACAAGTCTGTCCCCCACATTGGATGGAACAGCGCCAATACCGGCGGTAGGCCCTTGTTCGACCTAAGCCCGGATTCCAAATACTACTACGTCCACACGTTTCGAGAAGCATACACACCCGGTAAGCTCGAGTCGCAGGGCTGGTCCGTGGCCACAGGCACATATGGAAACGAGACGTTCGTCGGCGCCGTAGCCAAGGGAAACATCTTTGCGACCCAGTTTCACCCTGAGAAGTCTGGCGTTGCAGGTCTACGGACGATCCGTGCCTTTCTCACGGGAGAGGGAGCAAGGTCTCTCCCATCAAATCCCCAACCCCTGACAGATGTGCCCTTCAAGGACGGCCTTACCCGTCGTGTGATCGCCTGTCTAGATGTGCGAACAAACGACCAGGGCGACCTGGTTGTTACGAAGGGAGACCAGTACGACGTGCGGGAAAAGGGCGACGATCGAAACGTGCGCAACCTTGGCAAACCCGTTGAGATGGCCAAGCGCTACTACGAGGAGGGGGCCGACGAGGTGACCTTCTTGAACATCACATCCTTCCGCGATTGCCCCATAGCCGACCTTCCCATGCTCGAAATCTTGCGCCAGACCTCCCGCACTGTCTTCGTGCCCCTGACCATTGGCGGAGGCATCCGCGACACTGTCGACACCGACGGCACCAAGGTCACCGCGCTGGAGATCGCCACCATGTACTTCAAATCCGGCGCTGACAAGGTCTCGATCGGGTCCGACGCCGTCCTCGCCGCCGAGGAGTACTACTCCCTGGGCAAGAAGCTCTTTGGCAACACCGCCATCGAGCAGATCTCCAAGGCTTACGGGAACCAGGCCGTCGTGGTCAGCGTCGACCCCAAGCGCGTCTACGTCCCCAACCTCGACGCTACCCGCCATGCCGTCGTCGAGACCAAGTTCCCGGGTCCCAAGGGCGAGCCCTACTGCTGGTACGCCTGCACGATCAAGGGCGGCCGCGAGACCCGCGACATGGACGTCGTCGAGCTCGTCCAGGCCGTCGAGGCCATGGGCGCCGGAGAGATCCTGCTCAACTGCATCGACAAGGACGGCACCAACAGCGGCTTCGACCTCGAGCTCATCGAGCAGGTCAAGGGCGCAATCGCCATCCCCGTTATTGCGTCGAGCGGAGCTGGAAACCCGGGCCACTTTGAAGAGGTGTTCCAGAAGACTCGGACAGATGCCGCCCTGGGCGCGGGCATGTTCCACAGAGGCGAGTACACTGTCCAGCAGGTCAAGGATTATTTGCAAAGCAAAGGGCTGGAAGCGCGGCAGGCTGGTGAAGGCCTGGACTCATGATTAATCTAATAGATAAAAAAGGGGCTAGAAAAGATAGAGAAGAAATGGATGAGCGTAGCTTTGAAATAAAAGATTCAATTTAGTTGCTAACTTTGGTAAAAAGAGCCTATCGTAATAACTTCTCTGTTGAGTAATCGGTATCAAAGAATTGATGATCTGACGCCCGCTGTCACCGTACTCCAAACTGCTGATCGATCATCTGCTGTGTGTTGGGTTGTGGCAAAAAGAAGAAAAAGACCGAACTATCCTAGCAATACGAAAAAAAGAGATTCAATCAAAAACAAGAACAACGAAGTCATTCCCTAAGATCAGTCGAATAAGGGGAACGAACTATCCTGGCAATACTAAGAAAGAGATTCAATCAGAACAACAAAATGAAAAATGAAATTCTTCCTTCCTTCCCTAAAGTCAGTTGACCGAGGCTAGACCTCCATGCCCATGAACAGCCACTTGTCGCTGGTCACGTCCAGGTCGTCAGCCCAATGGTCAAGGGTGGTCATTTCGAACCCAACCCATTGGAGGCTCTTTGTCAACTCAATTGCATCTCCAGCAGACATGCGGCGATCAATGCATGTGACGATGTGAGAGCAGTCCAGCGGTCCATCGCTGAGCTCAATGAGCGCCATGAGACTATAACACGAGTGTTAGTTAAGTGTTGAAATAAGTACATCGTGATGGGCAACTTACGCCTTCTTCAAGTCTCTCCCCAGCATGCCCTGCACATCAAAGAAGACAAAGAGCGATCTCTCCCGGCCATTGTTGGCAACAAAGGCACGGAAGCTCGCGCCGCCCGCGTAGTCCCAGACCTCCATCCACGATTCGGCCTCAAAGCCGGAACGCTTGACGTCCACCTCGCTTCCGCGGCGGTAGGGGTCCGGGAACTGGTTGTCTGGCGGCGGTGTCGGTAAAAAAGCACCTGACCGGCTGGACCCATTCATCGACGGACTCCTCTCACCAAGGAAAACCGTCTTCATGGACCCACAGAAGAATCTCTCACATTCTTCCCTGATCGAGTGTGCTGCCCCCCCTCGCCGGCCCAGGCGACGACCTGGGATCTCGCTCTTCCGCTTGGGAAGGAGAGCGAGCTCGTTTGACGAGGTTAGTGCGGCGAGGGGGGGGCTTGTTGGTGGGGAGGGTAGTCCTGAGGAAGGGACCTCAGGAATACCACTCGGCCCCTGTGGAAGCGTTAGCATGGGAGATTCTCTTGGGGGTGGCGGTTGGCAGAGGAGCTCAATCGACGGTTCAGATGGCATACCTGTGGCGCCGGTAGTGCAGTAATGGATGCCCTTGAGGCCGGAAGTAGAGTCGACGATGTAGCAGGAGGCAAGGACATTAACACGCTGGACAATGTCCTCGCCGTAATTACTACTTAAATTACTCTTTTGTTTGTTGATTGGCGCCATTTCGATTCGATTCGTCCGGTTCTGATCTCGTAGGTTGGTTATTCGAGTTCGGGAGCAAGGGTGTGGAGCGGCGGTAAGGAGTAGAAAATTTTCGTTGATGTCCGTCAGAGTCGGTTGTTGACTTGTGTTGATATTTGTTTTGGGGCAGATTTGGGATTTCTTTTAAAGAGTTGGTTTGTCTGAGTGTGCTTGTTTTATAGTGATTCAGATTGACAGCCGGTGGAATGAGGTCAAGGGAATGGAGGAGGAGAGTCAGAATGACTGACCGGAATTTGGTCCCTCCACTAATAATGCCAGTTCGTTCGTTGGGCCGCTAGCGGGTGCGTGGGTCGCGTGGGTCGCGTGGTCCATCAAACCAATCAGATTTATAGACTCGCACACACCGAGCTGATTCGGCCACTGCATGAACTTACTCTTTGCTAAGGGCCGAGGCCCCATTCAGACCCTTCCCCACCCAGCTCGCATCTATAATACAGAGCAGGATACAGTGAGTGATAGTCATTCGATATGATGTGATTAGTTGCTCTCGAATTGAGTACCAACAGGCGCTGCGCACAGTTTTTTGTTGCTACAGATATGTATGCCGATGGTAGCCACCAGGCCCCCGCTGCTAATCCAATGAAACCTGATTGCTCGTTCTATTACCTAACATCCCTACCCTAAAGCCAGAGTTTGCTTATCCCGTTCGCCACACATACAACCATGAAATGAACGTCTTACACTCAGATACATGCGCCAAGTTACCTTCTGATTTTTTCGATCTGATTTAAGTTCTGGTTGCATGGCATTCCATATATTTCTAGCTGGCTGATAACCTCGGTGTTGTGAAAACAATCAACAAGAACCCTCCTAATTAAACATCTAGAATCCAATATAGGCATCTGTGCATACGACAAAAAGACATTTGTCTCAGTCACATCATTGACCTCGTCCTCTCCTTCCGTTCACCATACCCCTGTAACAGGTGTCTCATCCGTCTGGCACTATTGCTTTCATTGTCAATATTTGCACACATTGTTTTGCCACCACGAAGTTACTAATTGCTGCACTTGCTTCCCTGAATATGACGGTTTCAGCCACCAGCCCATATAGCACATAGCGTTGGCTTGATGCATATATTCATTTCTAATTACTACTAAACTACCTATGCATTATCAAAATTCTTATATAGCACCGGCAACGTGCATTAGGCATTACGTCGTCGACCCCGGATCGACGCCGGTATCCAGTGGGGAAGCATGTTTCCACCGTCGGAGCCGACGTTTTTGGGTGTAGCTACGCAAAAGGTTAACTCCCGTGCCGATCAAAACTGCACTTAGAATACCAAAAAGAATGTGATCTGCCCGACTGTCCGAGGTTGGAATACTAAGCACCCATCATAGATATCGAGATGCCTCTGATTGAGCTGAGTTTGTTAGGTATACCAATCGGAAGTAGTGTAGCAATCAAGAGCCCGACGAAGGACTAACTTCAAGTCACATATACAACAATTATCGTGCCCACCAGATCAACTCGCCTTACAGTTGACTAGGGTCATGGGTGGCTTTTACTCCTTTTGCTAGGAACTTCAGTCGTACTGCCAAGCTGCCTAACCTTGTTATGCCGAGACAATTTGACATCGGATGTGTGTGCTGTGCTCTTTCACCGCTCCGCACTGCCAAAACTTCGCCCCAAGTCTGACAACTGAAAACTGGAGCCGTTGATTGAAATATCCCAGAGATAGATCTCCGTCAGTGATGAGCCTAACCTCTTACGCGTATCCGAGACAGATAAGCTCATGCTCAAGTCTCTAGAGGCCTAGAACCCTTGATTATGATGCCAATGGCAGACCATCAATCTACTTGGCAGTCCGGGTGATAGATAACTGCATCTCTGTTCTAGATCCCGCTTGTGATCTACACTCCATGGATTCACGTATGCACATGTCACGTAAAACCTTGCTTTTGTTCGCCACCCAGCTGCCCACCATTAGACTGACAAGTGGGTGACAGGAGGAATGAGACATCCAACGGAAGAGCGGTGATAAACAGAATACTCTCTACAATGAATAGTGAAACTCAGCAGAATAGAACGGAATAATAATGAAAATGTACCTATTATCTCTGGAATACGCATTCTTAGCACATAATAATCCTATAATACCTGTCGAGGACTCGAAAATAGTCAGCTTAACGTTGACTTGTCTCAATTCCCAATGTCACACACTTGACTGGAAGTAGCCTGGAGGTAGCCGATCTGCGAATTTACGTGACGCGGGATGAGGCCGGAGAATGGCAGGCCCACCATAAGCCAGATGCACATTGACGCAATCGAGTCTCATACATGCACCGATCTACTGCTCGGAGGAGGCCCAAGTTTAGAGCTTGATACGGGCAGTATTTGCACCATGCCGCCTCAAAGAGTTAAGCCCCAGGCTACGTGCTTATCAAGCCGAGCCTTAAGGTTCCGGAGGGACTGAGACACGGGTTGATCAATAAATGTTGTCTCGCACAAGTCGTTGCAACATCTTCCGAACTCATCCTCGAGGCAGCAAGCCAAGGACAAAATTTCACATGAGAGTTTTCAATAGGTGACCGGTCCATAATGGCATACAGGCATGTGAATGGGCGGAGCTCCGATTGGAGACTTGAGGTGTTGCGAACTCCAGTCCGAGACGGCGAAAACCAGAACGTGACAAAAAAAAGAGACAATGTACTTGTCAGTATTATTTCATGATCCAACATCAGCCCTCATTCCATGAATTATCATACAAAAGCCGCAATACCTTGCTATGTACTTTTCCCAACGCATGCGTACATACATACATACATATATATATTGGTTAATCATTGTTTCATCATATGTGCTTCGCACTAAGGCTTGCAAATGCATCTGGGCTGTGCCGACCATTAGTCCAAGCCATGTCCAGGCCCAAGTTCACGCTCTCCCTGCTAATGTGCCTCGCTGTGTTAAAAGGATCCGGGTCATTTGGTTTCACAACGCCGTTCACACCACCAACGCCACCGTTTACAAATGGGTTGTTTGTATTTTCAGGAGGCAATGTCATGCTTCGGAACGGCTGAGCCGATATCGGGGCGGACTGGGTTGGCTGTGCAGCCACACCAAAGTTAGGGGACATAGGAGAGGCTTGTACTGGCTGGACAGCGTTGTTGACCTGAGGAATTGTGGGTGCCGAATTGTATAACGCCATAATAGATGATTTGTCAGGTCGCGTAGGTTGGAAATATTGTTGTTGAGGGCTGGTCAATTGCCCGGTATAGGCTTGAGGCTGAGGAGAACTCTGTAAGAATGGATTGTTCACACCTGTGGCGGCTGGGAAGGTTGAGGCACTCTGAAGGGCCGGGACACCACCCTGAAATGATTGATTCTGGAAAGAAGGGTTCTGGAAGGAGGGACTTTGGAAAGGAGGACTCTGCAAGGGAATATTGTTCTGGAACGAAGATTGCGACTGTTCTGGGATTTGTCCGAGAATCGGTGGCGATGCTACCCTAGTAGGTGATCGAGCGAATGGGTTATTTGCAAATCCGTACTGCGATTGTTGCGTATTGACAGCTAGATTCTGCTGGGCAAGTTGTTGCGGGAACTGCTGAGACACCTGCGAGAACTGTTGAGGGGGTTGCTGCTGCACCGGGCTACTTTGGTTGGCTAAAAAGGGGTTTGTCCCTGTCGGTTGCTGTGGAAGAGGTGCCGACTGAGGGTATGCCATGTTCTGGAATTGCATTTGCTGGAAGAACTGCGGTGTGGTTGGCGCTGAGGGAACCGGAGGGGAGGGAAGAGGAGGTCGACTTTGTGTCATTGGCGTAAGGCCGCCTGTACGGTTAGGGAAAAGCTGTTGCTGAGCAGGAGCCGACGACACATCTAGCTTCTCGAAAGCTTGACTGAGCGGATCAGTCTGTTGTCTCACGGGTCCGAATGGGTTGTTTGTGGCCGCATTAGTATTATATGGGTTTTTGTTGTTGTTGCTCAAAGCGCCCGTAGACTGTGCCGTTTGTGGTTGAGCTGTTAGCGCATCGAATGGATTCGTAGATGTGCTCGAAGGTGTCGCTGGTTGATCTTGGGTGGTCTTCGGCCCCAGGCTGAGTCCAATACCACCGGAATTAAGAGGCGTCAATGATTTGGAGGTTCGGAGAGTGTTGGGCCGAGGATTAGCTTGGGGAGCGGGCGATCGTCTGTCGGCTTCGTTTCGTTGAACTAGTAGCTCGATAGCCTGGTCGACGTTGCCGTCGACGGCCTTGAGGGCCTTGAGATTTCGTTGCGTATCATTGAACCCCATATCGCGCAGCTTTGCTAATTTCCTTTCCAGTTCATCCCCATCGTCAAAGTTCAAAGCGGCGCCAAAGACTTTGGCGGGTTTGTGGACCGAGTCATGGGATGAAGGTCGGTGTTGGATTTCAGGGCTGGGCAGAGCCTTGTCCTTCTTTGACCGAGAGAGCGGGAAGAGTGAGGAGGCGGATCGCAGACCAAATTTCGAGGACGAGTTCTTGGGCGGCAAAGGGGGAGGGACCCCTTCATCAATGCGAGGACTCCTAGGCCCTGCATCCCTCGTGGTGACGACGTTGTTCATATACTTTTGTCGAATGAAGCGCTCCATTGCACCATCCGCTTCGTCTGCGTCTACTGGAACCGGAGGTCTCTTGTTGTCCGGGTTATAAATTTGGTTCGACACGACATTGCCTACTTTTCGCATGTTCTATCCGCCTGACCGTTAGAACAACCAACTTTCTTATCCAAGGGCAAATGTTATTCTTACATCGACTTGCTCGTTGGTCCAGCTGTCCATGCTCAAGGATTTAACCTTGGAGACATGCGTGCCCAACTTTCGATGGATCGACGCACATCTCATGCACAGAAACACTCCAAGCTATATGAATGTCAGCTCCGGTTCAAGTATGATTGATGTCGCACATCGAGGTTGGACTGGCGGCCGTCGGGTTCGATATCGGCGATTGGGAGGGGAGGACTCACGCTCCATGATGCCCAAGCTATGGATTCCACGATTA